ACATGGAGGGTGTCTTGCTGCCCGACAATCTGAAAGTCTTGAACTTTGGTGCGGAATTCGATCGGAGCTTGCAGGGTTTGAAGCTCCCCAACAGCCTGCAGAGGTTGTCCTTTGATTGGGCTTTCAACCAGAGCTTGGAAGGAGTAACACTGCCAAGTAGCTTGCAGACTTTGGAGTTGGGGCCGTCTTTCAACAAGCCATTGGCAGGTGTCTCGTTGCCGGGCAGCCTGCAGACTCTCACCTTTGGCGTTGCTTTCAACCAAAGCTTGAAAGGTGTTGCGCTACCAGAAGGCCTCAAGACCTTGAGTCTTGGGAAGTGGTCTAACGAGAGCTTGGAAGACGTCACACTGCCAAGTAGCTTGGATACGTTGACCCTGAGCGACAATTTCAACCAGAGTCTGGAAGGTGTTGCGCTGCCAAGCAGCCTGCGCACATTGAAGTTTGGTGAGGCATTCAACCAGAGCTTGGAGAGTGTAACGCTGCCGAATAGCCTGGAGGTATTGACCTTTGGCTACCAATTTGACCAGAACTTGGAAGGAATCGCGTGGCCAAGCAGTTTGCATACTTTGACGTTGGGCAATCATTCCAAAGAGCAGTTGGAAGCTGCGAAGCTGCCAAGCACTTTGCAGACTTTGACCTTCGGCAGTAATTTCAATGAAAGCTTGGAAAGTATCATGCTGCCAAGCAGCCTACAGACCTTGATCTTTGGGGAGTTCTTCAACCAGAGTTTGAAAGATGTGAAGCTTCCCAGCGGCCTGCAGAAGCTAGAATTTGGCTGGGAGTTCAATCAAAGTTTGGAGGGTGTGACCTTGCCAAGCAGCTTGCAGACTTTGAGGTTTGATAATGACTTTGACCAGAGCTTGGAAGGTGTGACGCTGCCAAGTAGCATTCAGACATTAGAACTTGGGACGGAATTCAAGACGAGCTTAGCAGGGGTCATCTTGCCAAGCAGCCTGCAGACTTTGGCATTTGGTAGCGAATTCAACCAGAGTTTGGACGGTGTCGCATTTCCATCTGGCTTGCAGACTTTGGCTTTCGGCTATCATTTCAACCAGAGCCTGGTAGGCATCACTCTGCCAAGCAGTCTGCAGACTTTGATCTTTGGGGATGACTTTAACCAAAGCTTGGAAGGTGTCATGCTGCCAAGCAGCCTTCAGACACTGACCTTCGGGAGGGAGTTCAGTCAGAGTTTGGACGGTGTCGCATTTCCATCTGGCTTGGAGACTTTGGCTTTCGGCTATAATTTCAACCAGAGCCTGGTAGGCATCACTCTGCCAAGTAGCCTGAAGACTTTGACCTTTAATGAAGACTTCAACCAGAGCTTGGAAGGTGTCATGCTGCCAAGCAGCCTTCAGACACTGACCTTCGGGAGGGAGTTCAGTCAGAGTTTGGATGACGTGGTGCTGCCAAGCAGCTTGCGTGAATTATGTTGGCACGGAATCACCGTAGAACTATTGTAATTAATATATGTTATAAGTTATAAGATTATTGTAGCACAGCTACTGTAACGCTGTTTGTATGCATCGTTTCACACGCTTACCGTTTCACAGCCAAGAGGAGCACGTGCAGCAAAAAGGTGTAGCCATTCGTAGTGTCTCATTGCCTTCGGCCTCTTTCAAGCCCTGCAACGGGACGGGATTTCACAGCGAGGTCTCTCATGGTCCACAACTTCGGAGGTGAAGTTTTGGCGAGGACATAAGTCTTCCAAAACCAATGCTTCTGGCGTAGCTACAAGGAAGCGGATGAAGCGGCTGTTTTATGGTCTTTTGGAGTCTCAGGACACCCTTTTTGAATCGTTTTAGACGTAATGATTCCCTTTTACTAAAAAAAAAGAGTGATGCTCAACTCAACGTCCAGACTTGGCAAACCTGCTTTTTTTCCTGATACTGATACGTTTCTTGGCTTTTGGACTTTGCCAATGATTGCTAAGCTGTTTGCTTCGCAGGAAAACAGTGATATTGAGACAGCGGTGCTGCATACTGGACGTCATGTTGACCCAAGCGGAAACGGCGGCCAATTTGAAGCAGTGCAATATCACCACGTGAAACAAAAATGGACAAGGGACAAGCTGCATTGACTTCCAGTGCCAGTTGACAGAGTTGAAAACCGTTGCTCAAATACTCCTCAGTCGTTTCATCCATTCAGAAGCAACATTGCTTTCTTTTTGGCTCACAGATTTCAGGTGTTCATCCTTGAGAAAACAAAGGAGTTTTCATGGGTTTCTGAGTTTCCGTACTTGTTTGGTGGATTGGTCAACTGCGCATGACAAGAGCTGCCGAGAGATGTGTGCAGCTGAGCAGACGAGACGACTTCTTGATTGTGTCAAAGGAAATCAACGTTGAAGTGGATTACATACACCTCGTAAGATTTCCAGTTTCTGGATGAAATACTTCCGTAAGCTTCCGTACTAAGTTACTAGTGGTTCTGTGAATCAATTGGTATTCCAATGATTTGGGGCGTACCATGGCGTACCTCAAATGCGGGTTCCCCACGGGTTCCCCACGTCTTGAAACAGCGGAGTAACTGCCCATCCAAGGTCTGGCATCAGACTGCCAGATCAGGTGCAACTGCAGTGATGGCACCTTTTGTTCCACCTTTTGTTCCACAACCCTCACTGAATGAATCTGAATGAAACATTTGATTTGATGTACTTAAGTGTTACAAACCTCCAATTGATATGATATTGCTATGTGTTTTATTGTTGAGTTGGCATTTTCCATCTGTGCTATGCACTGCAGGTCAAAAACAGAGAAATCCTAAAGGATTTGAGCATTTTTGAGCATCCGCAGGTCCAGCAAGCACTCTACGAAGGGAATGAGATTCCCAGCTATCTAGAGGCTGGCAAGATGGGAAGTGGATCAATGGATGCTGGCGTCATGGCACGAGTGTTTGAGAGGTCTTGATGGATTCTAAGGTAGTTTGGCCGGGGAACAGTTCGCCATTGTTAACCATTCTTCCTCATAGTCCACCAATCAGATTTGGATGTGATTCAAATGTCTGCTCCCAAAGTTGGATGGTTGGAAAATCAACTTGACCAGTTGGTACCCCAAATGGTTGATTTCGTTTTTAGCACGGTGTATTGGCATGTATTGTCGGTTGCCCTTCCAGGAGATTGCTTCTCAAGTTGGCGCCCGAAGCCCCAGAGTATGCAAGGGTGTCGAATCAGTGACCAGCTGATGATTGGGATTGACAAATCCAGGCATCAGTTTTGTTGGATGAAGATTCCAACGATGAACTTTGATGGATGAAGGTGAGCAAATTCTCCTCGATAAAACATGATTTCTTTTGTAGCTTGATGTCATTGATAGTGGGGCTTGCATTCTTTGGAAGGTTCTGAAATTCTGAGAACAAACATATACAAGTGAGACTAGGTGTGAGTATTGGTCAACTGTGGCCATGTCATCTATGTTTTGATTTTGGAGGATGTGATGAAGCAGTGATCTTGATTTAGAGACCAAGACCAGCATGAACAAATCCACAGCTGTTGTTTTTCGACGTCTTAGGTCTGTCTTGGGCGATGATGACCTTCATCCACTTCATTGCAGGTAGCCCTGCCTGAGGCTCTGGTGTTGAAACTGGCTAGGGACCCCAATCCACAAACGGGCTAAGCTGGGAGCGATCGATTCTTCGGGGAATCAACCAATGAAATTCGGGGTACATGCTTTCGAACCGTACTCAAATCAAAATCCTGAAGCAATTCTTCAGCCAAGGTGTTGTAAGCTGGCTTGAAACAAAAAATGCTGGAGAGTCGTGTGCAGCGTCAAAATCCTGACCTCAATGGTTGAACTGGTTATTCGGTGTGGCTTACTTCGAGCTTGATGCTGGTCTAGAATCACACCACGGACACGTCATTTCTGAGGGGCCTTGTAGCCAGGTGGATCCACAACTTGAAGAATCCAACGTTGAGTCCAACTTTTTCAACTAGGGATTTCGCTTTAACAGTATCATTCGAATTGTACTTGCTGCTGCAAGTTCTATAATGAAGAAAGCAGGGCAGTGCGCGACTTTGCTAGGAAACATTGGGAAACTGGTTATGGCATTTGCTGCTCAGGCGCGCCAGGAGCGACCAAGCCACCAAGGCGGTCATGCTTACCATGCTTGAGGCTATGGAAGGGTCTAAGTTGAGTGCAGAAGTTTCTGTGTAGGGACTTGATTGGAAGAGTTCTTACAAACCATGAAGCTGCATCAGGGCTAGCCTTTGTTTGTGATCGTTTCTGGAGAGCTGCTGATTCCACGGAGCCCACCAAGATGCAATTTGCGTGTTGTCAAGTTTCGGGATTTCAGGATTTGTTTGGGTTTGGCAGGCATTGCTGTGATCTACCTTTGGAAGAAAATTGAGCGTTGTCATCCCAGCGTTCTTTTTGACGTGCGGAGTGGAAAGTCGAACGTGTTGGCCATTTGCAAGAAAGAACATCATGGCAATGGTGTTGATATGTTTTGATGAACATGGGGGGTTGTCAGATCAATCCGGGTCATGCTGTATTTTCTTCCACTTGTTCTACACTGGTCATGGTGTGGTCCGTTGCGCGCCAAGGAAGGCTTAATTTATCCAGAGCAACAGCATGCAAAGCACAGATTGACAAGATTTCACAACGACTTCTGCAAACTTGAGATTTTGATTCACACACAGCAAGCAATCAGGTTTTGAACAACTTTCCACAACAATTGCGCAACTTCTAGGGGCGTCTCCCCCGAGTAGATCTGGCTGCGAGCAAAGCAGCTCTGCTGTCAAAGGTGGGGAACCTTGAAACATCCTTGGGTTCAATGCAACAAAGACACTCTGGTAACCCTATTTGAGAAGATATGCAGCAGCAATCCCCCTTGAGGACGTATTGTTTGACAATTTAACATTTTATCATTCAGCTGTTCCTCAACTGATTGTTTCACCACGCTCATGCCATGTTTTTCATCTACGTGGCTTTGAGACACAAGATCTTGCAAAGGTTCAAACATCCTGTAACACCATTTGGGTTCCTTCAGCCTGATTTCGGACAGGCTCAATGGCGCAAAAATTCTTGAACCAGCTGATCTCCCCAGGGCAGGAGTCCAATATCAGCTTTGAGGAGTCCTTACTATGGAAATACTCAGAACTTGCGCGTCTTTCCTACAAAGATGGTGATATCCCTGGGTACGAAGAAGTGGTCGATGATGAACATGACAGGATCATCGGCAAGAGAGATGGCCAGGAAGTATGGCTGGGCTTCCGCGGATCTGGCGCGGACAGCGCGCACTGGCTTGGCAAGACAGGAAACTTGCACGCCTTGCCCAACGATGATTCGATCTGCCGTGGCTTTGCCAATGCACTGCAGAAGTTCCATGACGGCCTCAAATCATGGTGTCGAGGGTGCAGGATTATCCACTTGACGGGTCACTCTCGTGGGGGAGCTTTTGCAACTTTGGCTGGTCGGCTGTTGGCCAATGACTTCGAAGATGCAGAGGTGAATGTCGTTGTCTTTGGCTCCCCTCGAGTTGGGACATCGACGTTTGCACAGAAGTTCAGAAACCAAAAGAACCTGCGGTGGGCCGGTTTCCAGCATGCCGGAGACCATGTGGGAAAGATGCCACCTTGGGGTGAACATATTCATCCACCTGCAGATCCGCTCACCGACTTTCAGACAGATTCATCGCCTTTGCTCCAAAGAATTCCAAAAGTAGGCAACGCCTTGAACGTCATGTGGGTTTTCGGATCCAACCTAATGATGCTTGGATCAAAATTTGATTGCGGCTGTGTGTCCTTCTGTATGATGCATTATGATGCTTTTCTTTTGGTTCATCCATGCCAGATTAATATAACGTCATCATTTAATGCAATGACTTGCTTAAAGCCCAGGAAAAACCATAGCATGGAGTCCTACCACCAGTCGCTCAAGTGCAATTTCATCCTTCGCACTGGTGCCCCTGATGTCGATGAGATCATCCGCACCATCACCAACCAACAGCAGAAGGCCATGCTCACGATTGGTGTGCAGGCAGTGAAGGCGAGCGAAAAACAGATCCAAGAGCAAGTGAGGCAAGCAGCCGATGAAATCAAAGAGCTCTTGAGTGCTGACCGCTTGAAAGGAGTTCTCTCTGCAGCGCTGGCTGAGGAGTTTGTGATTCAAATGAAAGGCGCCACCCGCTTTTTGGCCAACATGTACGCCACGGACTTAGAGGGAATGAAATTGAACGTCCACGATTTGGAGAAGAAGTTGCACGACCTAGTCGAGCGCCTTCCACATGTACCTCAAGACTCAACAGAAATGCTGAAGCTTCTCTTGGAGGCCTTCTTCAAAGCTGGCTTCGTCTTGGCCATGTGCAGGATGAAATTGGGCGACACGCCCCATGACTTGAAGGAAAGATTCGCAGGGCTAGGTGAGGATGTGAAGGCGCATCTTTGGAGACTGGCACATGACCTTCAGAACGCAGATGCCTTTTATGCAGCCCTGCCGAGCTTAGTGCAGGTAGAAGCTGCTTGCGCAGCACACCTTGACAACAGGGAGCCCCTCTTCCTCACCGATGAAATTCAAGATCAGTTTTTACCGCATAATATTCAGCCAACGATGATTCAAAAAGATCTGATAAAACTCAAAAAAGAATTTAGAAGTCAGGTTGCTTCAGCACACCCAGGAAGTGTAGCAAAGCTTTTGTCATCAGACGGCTTGGATAAAAACTTTGTTCGCCTTCTAGAAGCTATCCTCGAGGACGTTGCCTCTGATTCCGAGGACGAGCACTTGAAACCATGTCATGAAGAGGTGAAGATATTGAAGCAGAGGATGGATGATTTGCTGTTGCCAGAGGTGGTCCTTACTGGACCTACCAAGGCAGGAAAAAGTTCATTGGCCAATGCTCTCTTGGGTAAGGAGGTTGCAAGCACCTCAGCGGCCCCTGATTCGTTCCTTCCGATCCGCTTCATCCCTCAAGGAGGTGTTTGTCGGTTGCCAAAGTTGTTGTTGTTTTCAAAGCTGTTGGCCACTCGCCTCAAATTTCTGGTTGGAGCTTGATTCAGTTTTCTTCTCATTCGCGATGATGCTTTTGGTCAGGCAAGAAATTCCATGTCGAGCTTCGTGGTGAGGGCTTAAGAGATCATCCAGACTTGTTCAAGGATAAGGTTGATGAAGAGTTCAGACTTCAGAAAATCAGCCAATCGGTGATAGACCCTGGTTGTTCCAGTTTCCAGATTTGGGTTGTTCCACCATCTTGCGAATGTTTTTCCCGGGAGCGTCTGAGCGCAGGGTTCTTCCAATAGTGGGGGTCTGTAAAACATCTTCTCATCTTCACATCTTCTCATCTTCACATCTTCTCATCCTCACATCTTCTCCTCATCTTCTCCTCTTCACATCTTCTCATCTTCACATCTTCTCATCTTCACATCTTCTCATCTTCACATCTTCTCATCTTCACATCTTCTCATCCTCACATCTTCTCATCCTCACATCTTCTCCTCATCTTCTCCTCATCTGCTCATCTTCTCCTCATCTTCTCATCTTTCACATCTTCTCATCTTCACATCTTCTCATCTTCACATCTTCTCACATCTTCTCACATCTTCTCATCTTCACCTCTTCTCATCTTCACATCTTCTCACATCTTCTCACATCTTCTCACCTTCACATCTTCTCATCTCACATCTTCTCCTCTTGCCCTCTTGGCCTCTTGGCCTCTTGCCCTCTTGCCCTCTTGCCCTCTCCTTCTTTTCTATGTCTCTTTTGAAGGCGGGAGCAGGGGCAGTGCCAACGAGACGGCACGAAACGCAACCCTTTCGCACGAAATGAGGTTCGATCGCCAAAAACTGCGGTAAAATTGCGATTCCCACCGGTCCCGCGCAACCCTTTCGCACGAAATGAGGGTCGATCGCCAAAAACTGAGGTAAAATTGCGATTTGCAAGTCGTCCGGCGCAACCCTTTCACACGAAACGAGGTTCGATCATCAAAAACTGCGGTAAAATTGCGATTTCAAGGTGTCCGCCGCAACCCCTTCGCACGAAACGAGGTTCGATCATCAAAAACTGAGGTAAAATTGCGATTTCAAGGTGTCCGCCGCAACCCTTTCGCACGAAACGAGGTTCGATCGTCAAAAACTGAGGTAAAATTGCGATTTCAAGGTGTCCGGCGCAACCTTTTCGCACGAAACGAGGTTCGATCGTCAAAAACTGCGGTAAAATTGCGATTTCCGGGTTCCCGTTGCAACCCTTTCGCACGAAATGAGGGCCGATCGCCAAAAACGGAGGTAAAATTGCGGTTTTTCTGTGTGTACAAAGCTTCTGTGTGCTGTGTGTCAAAGCTTCTGTGTGTAAAAGCATCTGTGTAAAAGCGTCTGTGTAAAAGCGTCTGCTTAAAAGCTTCTGTGTGCTCTGTGTGTAAAAGCGTCTGTGTATAAAAGTTTCTGTGTGTAAAGGTATCTGTGTGTAAAAGCTTCTGTGTGTAAAAGCGTTTGTGTAAAAAAGCGTCTGTGTAAAAGCTTCTGTGTGTACAATCTTCTGTGTGTAAAAGCCTCTGTGTGTAAAAGCTTCTGTGTGTAAAATCTTCTGTGTGTAAAAGCGTTTGTGTGTAAAAGGGTCTGTGTGTAAAGCCGTCTGTGTGTAAAAGTTTCTGTTGTGTAAAAGTGTCTTTGTGTCAAAGCGTTTGTGTGTAAAAGTGTCTTTGTGTCAAAGCGTTTGTGTGTAAAAGTATCTGCGTGTAAAAGCGTGTGTGTGTGTAAAAGTGTCTGTGTGTAAAAGCGTTTGTGTAAAAAACGTCTGTGTAAAAGCTTCTGTGTGTACAATATTCTGTGTGTAAAAGCCTCTGTGTGTAAAAGCTTCTGTGTGTACAATCTTCTGTGTGTAAAAGCCTCTGTGTGTAAAAGCTTCTGTGTGTAAAAGCCTCTGTATGTAAAAGTGTCTGTGTGTTAAGCCGTCTCTGTGTAAAAGTTTCTGTTGTGTAAAAGTGTCTTTGTGTCAAAGCGTTTGTGTGTAAAAGTGTCTGCGTGTAAAAGCGTGTGTGTGTAAAAGTGTCTGTGTGTAAAAGTGTCTGTGTGTAAAAATGTTTGTGTAAAAAGCGTCTGTGTAAAAGCTTCTGTGTGTACAATCTTCTGTGTGTAAAAGTGTCTGCGTGTAAAAGCGTCTGCGTGTACAAGCGTCTGCGTGTAAAAGTGTCTGTGTGTAAAAGCGTGTGCGTGTAAAAGCGAGTGCGTGTGTGTGTGTGTGCGTAAATACGTCTGTGTGTGGAAATGCTCTCAGAATGACCGAACTGTGTGGTCCAAAAGCGTCTGTGTGTAAAAGTCTCTGTGTGTAAAACTGTCTGTGTGTAAAAGCGCCTGTGTGTAAAAACGTCTGTGTGTAAAAGCGCCTGTGTGTAAGAACGTCTGTGTTTAAAAGTGTCTGTGTGTAAAAGCGTCTGTGTGTAAAAGCGTGTGTGTGTGTGTGTGTGTAAAAGTGTGTATGTGTGTAAATAAGTCTGTGTGTGTTTAAATACGTTAGCATAACCAGAGCTGTTCGACTGTGCTGCATCTGTCGCGGACTCAGGCTCCATGTGTTTTTTCTGCGTCGGGTTGTTTCACATATGCATAGGCACTTCTGGCTGCATGTGCTATGTGTTTTTCATCTCAGACGAGCGGAGTTGTTGTTCACTGTGATTTTGCCTGAGGCACTCACAATTTTTTCCCGAGAGCGTCTGAGCGCAGGGTTCTTCCAATAGTGGGGGTCTGTATCTCATCTTCTCATCTGCACACCTTCTCATCTTCACATCTTCTCATCTTCACACCTTCTCATCTTCACATCATCTTCACATCATCTTCACACCTTCTCATCTTCACATCTTCTCATCTTCACATCTTCTCATCTTCACCTCTTCTCATCTTCACATCTTCTCATCTTCACATCTGCTCATCTTCACATCTGCTCATCTTCACATCTTCTCATCTTCACATCTTCTCATCTTCACACCTTCTCATCTTCACATCTTCTCATCCTCACATCTTCACATCTTCACATCCTCACATCTTCACATCTTCTCCTCTTGCCCTCTTGGCCTCTTGCCCTCTCGCCCTCTTCTTCACATCTTCTCATCCTCACATCTTCACATCTTTATCACATCTTCACATCCTCACATCTTCACATCTTCTCCTCTTGCCTGCCCTCTTGCCCTCTCGCCCCTCTTGCCCTCTCCTTCTTTTCTATTTCTCTTCTGAAGGCGGGGGCAGGGGCAGTGCCAACGAGACGGCACGAAACGCAACCCTTTCACACGAAATGAGGTTCGATCGCCAAAAACTGCGGTAAAATTGCGATTTGAAGGTGTCCCGCGCAACCTTTACGCACGAAACAAGGTTCGATCGCCAAGAACTGAGGTAAAATTGCGATTTCAAGTCGTCCCGCGCAACCCTTTCGCACGAAACGATGTTCGATCGTCAAAAACTGAGGTAAAATTGGGATTTCAAGGTGTCCGCCGCAACCCTTTCGCACGAAACGAGGTTCGATCGTCAAACACTGAGGTAAAATTACGATTTCAAGGTGTCCGGCGCAACCCTTTCGCGCGAAACGAGGTTCGATCGTCAAAAACTGCGGTAAAATTGCGATTTCCGGGTTCCCGCCGCAACCCTTTCGCACGACATGAGGGTTGATCGCCAAAAACTAGGGTAAAATTGCGATTGTTTCTGTGTGTACAAAGCTTCTGTGTGCTGTGTGTCAAAGCTTCTGTGTGTAAAAGCGTCTGTGTGTAAAGGAGTCTGTGTGTAGAAGCTTCTGTGTGTAAAAGCCTCCGTGTGTGAAAGTGTTTGTGTGTGTAAAAGCGTCTGTGTGTAAAAGCTTCTGTGTGTAAAAGCGTCTGTGTGTAAAAGCGTTTGTGTGTAAAAGCTTCTGTGTGTAAAATCTTCTGTGTGTAAAAGCGTTTGTGTGTAAAAGGGTCTGTGTGTAAAAGCTTCTGTGTGTAAAAGCTTCTGTGTGTAAAAGGGTCTGTGTGTAAAATGGTCTGTGTGTAAAAGCTTCTGTGTGTAAAAGCTTCTGTGTGTAAAAGGGTCTGTGTGTAAAAGCTTCTGTGTGTAAAAGCTTCTGCGTTTAAAAGCTTCTGTGTGTAAAAGTGTCTGTGTGTAAAGTGGTCTGTGTGTAAAAGCTTCTGTGTGTAAAAGCTTCTGTGTGTAAAAGCTTCTGTGTTTAAAAGCTTCTGTGTAGAAAAGTGTCTGTGTGTAAAATGGTCTGTGTGTAAAAGCTTCTGTGTGTAAAAGCTTCTGTGTTTAAAAGCTTCTGTGTGTAAAAGTGTCTGTGTGTAAAATGTTCTGTGTGTAAAAGCTTCTGTGTGTAAAAGCTTCTGTGTGTAAAAGGGTCTGTGTGTAAAAGGCTCTGTGTGTAAAAGGGTCTGTATGCATTTAAAACAATGCTGTCGACATCTTTCTTCTGTGTGTAAACACCTTTATGTGTAAAAGCGTCTGTGTGTAAAACAATAAGTGTGTAAAAGGGTCTGTGTGTTAAAGTGTCCGTGTGTAAAAGCGTCTGTGTGTAAAAGTTTTTGTGCGTGTAAACGCGTCTCTGTGTGAAAGCGTCTGTGTGTAAAAGTGTCTGTGTGTAAAAACGTCTGTGTGTAAAAGTGTCTCTATATAAAAGCGTCTCTGTATAAAAGCGTTGCGTTTCTTCACATCCACGGAATGATGGTGCCAAGCTTTTTCCGCAATGTGTGTGGGAATTACCATAGTAAAATGAGATAACACATGTCGTTCGCAGCATCATGGTACCGAGCCTCCTGTGCATTCTTGTTGCTCACATTATATTTCTCCATGTTTTCTTTCACCCCCCTTTCATTCTCTCTCTCTCTCCTCCCTCTTTCTCTCTGTGGTTGCAAGACACGTGTCATCTGATGCCCTTTACCAAGTATCCTCTTCTTAATCAATCTTACTTTTTCACACCATATCCTTCCATAGCTCATATAAAATTCACCAACTATTCACCGACTATCTTTTACGACTACCATCCTCAGAGCTGCTTGAAAAACATGTTTTTCGGAAAAACATTTTTTTCGCTCTCGGGCCAACCGTCGTCTAGTTCTCAGGTTGAAAGCTGTGCTGGAGGCCAGAGAGGTGAACACAGCTGAAGAAGTTCATGAAACCATCGAAAAGATGAACAAAGGCCTCCGGAATTTTCTGGACTCCAAAATCTTCGTCCAAAAGTTTTCGGAAGAAGAGGCACATGTCCTTTCACAATCTCTTTGCGCCGGGTGGTCGGTTGATATCAAGATTCCTGTTCGCGGCCCAGAAGCGTTGCCGGTGATCCTCGTCGACCTGCCAGGTAGCACTGAAGGAGGACTCATTGGAGAGTTCATCAAGACTATGGTGAGAGGAAGTTGTATCCGAGCCTCTACGGCTTTGTTGGTGCTGGGCTGGGAAATGATCACAGAGCTTGACCGTGATGGAGCTGATCCCATGCAGCGCTTCTTTGGCGGAGCTTCCAATTTCAGCGGCTACTACATGGTCATCACAAAGGTCTTTGAGAAGGACACTTTCGATCAAATCAACCCAACAGTTCGCAGGAAAGCTGCCCAGCTCAAACCGGAGCCCCTCGGGATTCGCTTCATCAACAGCTACCTCTTGAGAGCTCATGCTGCATCCCTCGCTGGCTCTCTGCCCGAGAATTTCCCAAGTGTGGAAACCGACGCCAGTGATGAAGAGAGGTGCAGGTGTGAAGGTGAGCAGCACCGATGCCAAATCATTTTCCGTGGTGTTGAGAACAGGCTCATGCAAAAGAAGGACCAGAAAAAATTCGACGGAAAAGATCTAGAGGAAGAATTGAAGGAGAAACTGGATGAGTTCCCAGAGACTGCTAGCTTCACCTCTGAGCTCTATAGCTCTGTTGACAAACGCTTCCCAGAACTATTCTTGGGACCACATTTGGAAAGGATGCAAAGGTGCATCAGACAGCTGGTAGATGAGAGCCACCAGCGTGTGGAGATCTGCTTAGGAAGCGAGCATCAGAGGCAAGTAGATATTGGTGCGTGCCGCAAGCTATTGAGCAATTTGGACGACGAACTCCTGGAGCCGGCCAAAGAAAAGGCGAAGCTGATGGTCCAGGGCAGGATTGAAAGGATGGCAGAGGTTGATTGGCGCGGCCTCTACCTTGAAAACACGGAAGAATTCTACAACGCTGTTTCAGAAATCTGTGGCCAAGAATTTGGAAAAAATTGGTGCACAGACCAGCCATTTTTTAATGAGATCAGGTGCTCGGCCGAGCGAGAGACCATGAGGGCCTATAAGAAGATCCTGCACCAACAATTGGCGGAAAAAGTTGGTTGGATAAGGGAAAGTGATATCCCTTCTGACATCTCGCAATCCCTGTCTTTGAGCTCGGATGAGGCACATAAGCAACAAAATTATTTGGAGAAATTTGTTGCAGTAGCTGCAATAGCAGCTAAAGCAGCTGCAACAACAGCTACAGCAGCTATACCAGTTCTAATAGCAGGACCAGCTGCAATAGCAGTAGCAGGATCTGCATCAGCAGCTTTATTAATCACTGCCCACAGTGCCTACGCTTCATCATTCGCTGTAGCGGTGGCGAAGACTCCAGATACTCCAGACCAGAGATTGGCAGACCTCCACGAATGCAGAGACCTGAGCCTGAGCAGGTTCGACGACTTCTTCAAGGCTTCGCTCCAAACAAGCCTGGAGTCGCGGCTGAGGATGCTCGAGGAGAAGGAGTCAGACTTCCCACATCTAGATGAGAAACTTCAGCAGTACCTCACAATGTTTGGTAACTTGCAGGAGATCGCGAAAATCGTGAAAGATCCCTAGCCGCTGGCAAATGCATTTACTTAGACCTTCGTGACCTTCCAAATTTAATTAGACCTTAGACATGTCGAGCTTTCTTGCGAGAGGCTCCTAGCTGCTAGCCAAAGCAGTACTGAGACATGTCAAGATAGCATAGAGATGCTATCTCCATGCAAATGATGAGGCCAATGCTGAAGCACTGTGTTTGGAAAATGATGCAGCCCTGGTCATAATTTTGGGTAATATTTTTTTCTGCAACCCTGCCACATGAATGTCTTGTTGCTGTTGCCACTTGATTTGGAGTTCTGAAAAAAATGAGCCCTGTCATGTTCCACTGAATGTTGTCACTGTTGAAGCCCTGACAAAGGTTTTTGATTTATGTTGTTTCCGTCTCCTTGCTTGAGGCTCTTTGCATTGCAGCTGGTCTTCTTTACCTCGCACTCTGCAGGTCAGGCAGATTGCGGGCGGAAGTCCGCTGGCCAGAGCGGTTGGTTTTTGGTTGAAAAGCGAGCAGGACCAGGATACCAAGGTCCATCAAGGTCCCAAGGTAATGTCGAACGTGGCGTCAATTTGTGTATGATTAGCACTGCGATCAACCCTGTGGCAGTTGGGTTTTTTGAATGTGATTCTTTCGCTAAAAACATGCTGAAAATGGAGTTTGGTCGTCTGACAGTGGCGTGTTGTCCCCACTTTTTTGCCGCAACCTAACATTTGCTAAAAGCGCTTTTGATCCGTTTCCAACCTGTAAACATTTGAGACAGCATCATACTAACATAAACTGCCACACTGCCACATGCACATGCCTACCAAGATCGGTGAAATGTTCCTCTATTCAAACCTTAGGCATTTTGCGTGAAAACCTTTCAGTTTCAGTTGAAGCCTTTCATTCTCCGTTTGGAATATGGCTGACCTTTTTTGACTTGCAGATCGAACCCCTGCCTTCTCAACTTAAAATGTGTTCATGATTTTATGATAAGTTGAATATCATCAGTCTCGATTGTTTTTTGGCAGTTTTTTGTTAAAGACCCTCCCATTCTCACGAATAATTCTCGCTTGCGAGGAGGTTCAGTGACATCCAAATGGGGACGTCCATGTTTGGCAGCACAGCTTGCCGCACGTCGACGTTTGAGTCAGTTCCATTGAATGCAAGCTCCTGCGCTGCTGACTCATAAATTGGATCTTTGGAAGCGGGTCTTGCAGCTTGATGAAGTGGCTGATTCTGTCTATGACTGTGAGGCTTTGAATGCCGTGGACAATTGAATTGGTTTCACATCAAAATCATGTTTGTTATAGATGTTCCGTGATGTTCATCCCGCTAAATAGTCCCATCACTGCAATCAGCGAATGAGGCAAACGACACGAGTCTCCCATTGGGGGCTTCAAACATACAAGGATAGCGGATTTCTTGGAATCGCAGAAAACCATCCCTTTTTTTTGCCGTTCCATAAAGCATAGTGTTCAACCTCCAGACTTAGATTAAGTATACGCCCCTTTTCTGCTTGTGAGGTTTTGTCCCAAGTGAAGGATGACACTGTCACTGAGACAGCGGTGCTGGATGCTGGACGTCAAGTTGACCCAAGCGGAAATGGCAAAAAAACATTGCAACAGCAGAAAGGGAGAGAATGAGTTATTGTTTTCTTTCACTTCTCATGCCAGTGGAGAGAGTTCTCATATTCTTTCTCATGGCAATCCTGTGTCGAGTCATCTACATGGAAGCAAACAATTATTCTTTGTTTCTCAGTCGAAGTTTTTCATGTTTTTCACTTTTTGCAGAATGCAGTGGAGTTTCAATGAATTTGTTGCTTGCCATGTTGACAATCACTGTGGGTCAAGTAGGCATGAGCCCTTCAAGCCACGAGCACAGCGCTTTGATACTTCGTCTTCTTGGCGCTTTGGGTTCAAAGCTCCGCTTATGACAGAAGATGCCGACAGATGTGTGCAACTGAGAACGTGAGACAAGGTTTGTTGACGGTGATCGGAAAACATGTTGAAGTGACTGAAGCGGATGAAAAAGGAGCCTAGAAAATGATTGTCCCCTCAATTTGGGGATCATTTTTACATCATTTCAGGATGGAATACTCAACATGATCAGTGGGTCAATTGGTAATGACTTCCAAGGTCTGGCGCCAGACCTTTGCAGATCAGGTGCAACTGCAGTGATGGCACCTTTCGTCCTGCAGAACCGTCCTTCAATAAAACATCGGACCCATCCAAAATCCGGTTGATATGATTGATATGATTATGTTGCATTGGTGATTGGTGACTTGACATTTTCCATCTCTGTAGGTTGAACAGAGAGAAATCCAAATGCAATTTTGAGCATCCGCAGGTCCAACAAGCACTCTACGAAGCATATGGGAATGAGATTCCCAGCTATTTAGAGGCTGGCAAGATGGGAACTGGATCCAGGGCCGTCACATGTTTGACTTTCCATCCAGGCATGGGTGCTTGAGAGGTCTTGATGGATTCCGAGTCAAGATGCAAAAACTGTTGAATAGGGGAACAGCTCACTATCCCTCTGCTCTTCTTTTGAATAGTTCAACAGATTTGGATGTGCCTCAAATTGTTGGATGTTGAAATAAAACATGCGTCATGTGACCAATTTTGTGTATCATTTTCTAGCCCGCAATTTTGAACCCCAGGTTCTTTGATTTATTTTTGTTGCCACAGCCCAACTTTTGGTGGCTTCCCTTCCAGGACATTGCTTCTCAAGTGGGTGTCTGAAACCCCAGAGTTGGGGTGTGAGCCACGGCACTTGACCAATTGATGGTTTTGTTGGTTTTGTTGGGCCAATTGATGGTTGAGATATGTTGGGATTGGCAAATCCAGGCATCATGTCACGGGGAAAACATGCAAATTAAGCCAACATGTGTGAAGCTGGTGTCTGACATGAAGATATCTGAAATTTCAAGAACAAAGAAACTCATTAAGAGTAATATTGCATTTGACTAGCAGTAAACTGCATGTGATATCTGAAATCTCAAAACAGAGATGAGAAAGGCATTAATTAAGAGTGATATTACAGCTGACTAGCGGTCAACTCTGTCAATATCATACCTTTTCAGATCTTTTCAGAGGATTTGCGCAAGATCTCTTTAGAGCAGGACCAGCAGCAACAAATCCACTGTGGTGATCTTCATCCACCGCTCCATGGCAGGTTCGAAACTCATCGTCCAGGCACGGGCCAGCTGCCAGGGACTCAGTTCAGTCAAACCTAGCCTCGCCTGGTAGCTGGAAAGCGGATCGGGCCTGGATTGCCATTGGATGCTCGTCCATTTTCCAAATTTTGGTCCCCCAAAATGCCGACTGAATCATACGTTTATTCATTGGTGAAGATTTGTTTCCATGATTTTCGTTATTTTTGAATTTCCAATTGTACATTATTTTCATGTAGTTTCTATCTTTATTCTTTGTGTTTTTTCATTTGCAGATGCTGCCCCACTCATTCAGTCGCTTCAGGCGCGATCTCGCCGATCGGTTGCTTCACCCCGCGCCGAGAGGACTGAGAAGGCGAGCCTTTCGATGTTGTTTCTTCCAGGGAGAAAGAAATTGTATCGTTTTTTTGCTTAGGGGATGGATTCAAAGCATTCCAAGCCAAGAAAACAAAGAGAACCACCGCTTTAATGGCTTGAGGCTGATGGTTTGAGCTGTGTTCTGGTGATTGGAATATGTTGGAATCAGTTGCTCTATTGGATTCCGTTTTCCTTTCTATTGGCACTGGCAAAGCACTTTCCAGACTCAAGGACAATCATATCCCCTATTACACCCAATATTGGATCCAGAAATGAACAGATCCAATATCGAACCTATCGAAAAGAAAACATCTCTTGATGGTTTGATGCACTGTGAATGTCAGGCCGAGGCGCTGCAGCCTCAGCTCATTCAGAGATGCAGCGGTGTTGAGACACTGTTGGGTGCAAGGTGGGTTCATTGCATGGATGAATATGATTGAACAGGGATGAAAAAAAGAAAATGATGATATTAGGTTCAATACTCAAGAAGAACCGTAGTTGTATGTAAAAACATTCACTAGCTTACAACAAAATGGTAATGTATAAGACCAGTTTCACCTACCGTAAGAGTGGTTCAACATCAACTTCTAGTCATAAGTATGGTTCAACAACGATCACGGGGAACAACAAAACCCTGGGATTTCATGCTGAGGTCGCCCCAAAGGTGTGGACCTTGGGACTGCTTGGAAGATGACATACCATATACCTGCACAATATCCAAGCTGGTTGGGAAAGGGGGGGTTGATAATTCTTTTGGACTTTCAGGAAAACACCGATTGTTTGATGATTTTGGGCAACGAACATATCCATTTTTGGGGGAACCCCACCAGTTTGGAACGACATCAGCAGATGTTGGCAGATGACATGCCTCATGGCTTTGCCCTCCGAGGCGGAATGGATTGCCACGGTCGGGGTCTGGAAAAAGTTGCTGGGCACAAAGGGTGGCGCTTCCTGGGTCAGTTGGACCCAACCGGTGTTTGAAGGAGAAATATATGAAAACACATCAAAATGAATCTAAATATGCCCTCAACTCTTGCAGCCCAGCTTTTGTCATAGAGGGGATCAACTTGCCCTGACACTTTTGAACCCAACAGCCGACATATCCCTGACATGCTGAGGTGTTGGACATCGGCTTTATGAGGAAGGGATAGCCCTCAGAGAAAGGAGCACTGTGAAGTCAGCGATGAGTGCCAGATCAGACTTTGTATATCTTTGTATTGCCCGATGTCCGCTTTCTGTTTGGTTCTGAATATTGTACCCTGTGTTTCAAAAGTCCAAAAAAAATCTGTGTGTATATCTTAAGAGTTTGAACTTGTCTTGCAGGAGAAAAGCATTTATTGAGGAGGTGCGGCTGTACGGAGACATATCAAGTCCAGGCTGCTGTTGGCAGCCACTGACAATGTGAGGTGATGAATTTGGAGCAAGCAGACTTGAGAAACAAGGCTTGGCTCCCAGAAGTGTCGTACAAAGATAGGCCCATGCTCGGGGGCTATCACTTAACGGCGCCGCCGTAGCGCCAGTGCAGTGGGCAATCTGTGAAGATCCTCCAGCTGTTGAACCTATGAGACGTATGGCATTGCCAGTTGAACGGTCGCTTCTTTGGTAATTTGGTAGACCTGAGTGGTCCTTGCAATGCAGAACAGCATTTTGATAGGACGCCCTTGAGGGGTTTCAGGTTTTCTGGGCGGGATTTGAATGAAGTGGCTCATTAAAATCATGTTTGGTTTTTGCATCCACCCAGTCTTTGTCCCCAAAACCTTGGTTACCACCCTTCTGCACTTTGCTTTGAGATGGTAAGGCCAAAGAGCTCTTGAGCAGAGGAAGTCGCTTGTATCCAGCCTCCCTGCGTTCGTCCATGGGTGTCATGCTTAGGATACCGTCATCCGCACGAACGCTTGTTGAACAATCAACAGGTGGCTATTACAACAGTTTCACCACCAAGAATGATCTCTTCATATCTCTTAATCCAGTGCAGTACAATGTCCTTCTTTGTTGCACGTTGTCTCCACCACACAAATCTTCCCACTTATTTTTTGATCATGTTGCTCCAGAAGTTGTAAAACATATCAGATCTGAATCCCAGAATGAGGAATTTGGGGCATCTGATGGTTTCAAAGTTTCATGGCTTTGAGGTTCAACAGAGGAGCGCAAGGACTGGGACTCTGGGGTTGAGACTTGCTTGGGATCAAAATGGTCACACCAGAAATGGGTCGGAAGCTAGCTGTGCTGGCTTGAATCCATCAATGCCGGGAAGTCGATTGCGGGATCAGAATCCTAATTGGGTCATTCTACTTTGCAGATCACAATCCAACATGATGCAATCTGGTTGGTGGTTTGGAACATTTTTCAATTTTCCATATATTGGAGATTTCATCATCCCAACTGACTTTCATAATACTTTCATATTTTTCAGAGGGGTGGCTCAACCACCAACCAGACTATATATCATCCATTATCATCCTATAACTCAGGTTATATAATTTATATATCATGAACTAAACATTTATCAATTTATCAATTTATCAATTTATCAACATTTCTCAACATTTATCATCACTAAATCATTAGCTTCCCCTGAAACGTTTCAAACCCAGGAGCGCCGCTACCCCGGCCGCATCTGTGGCTTCAGCCCGTCCCTGGAACACAGCGGGACACGGCGATCGTTGAGCCCGAAGAGGGCAAGGATGGAGGCCATGGATGGGGAAAACATGGCATGGTTTGATGTTTTTTAACAAACGAAACTGGGGATTTATGTTGTTTAATTACCATATTTGATCATCAAAAATATGGTAATTCTAAGAATTCTAAGGAAGGAAATTGAGGATTCTAGCCAAAAGAAACTCTGCATTAGATATAACGAACAAAACTGGAGATTGAAGTAATGAAAAGAGGAATTTGGTGAGCAAGTTTTGGAATTAACAAACAAACTGGGGAGTTTAAGCAACAAAACTGGGGACACTAGGCATCTCCCCAATGAGGATACAAGTTTGGGTATGGGTCAATGTTCAAGGGACCATCGGAATTGAGGAGATGAATATCCGTAGTAAGCCATAGTATGGATACCAGAGGATCCACCACATACCAAGCTTCCAGAGCGGATGTCATAGTGCTACATCCACTCTAAAATCAGGATAAATCAGGAAGGTTCAAAATTTCAGTTGCTGGTTCTCTTGGTGGTTGACAATGGTTGACACTTTGTGGGTTCATTGTGTTGGAAAGGTCAAGCACTTCTGAGACCGGTCCAATGCTCCGTCACCTCCACCAGGTAAAGGATGACTCCTCACAAACGTGCCGCCTGCAACATTTTTGGCGGACATGGATGGAGATTGAGCTGAGTTTCACCCACATATCTCTCCCAAATATCACGTTTGACTTGGGATTAATGGTTGTTAAGCTCCTATAATCAAGTCTTGGCCGGCGGCTACTCATTTCTCAAGGATCATCCAAGACTACACAAAAAGGTACATCTCAAAAAATCAGGTGTATTGTCTGTCTGACTTGCCAACAAATGATGGTATTTTCCACTTGCATCCAGCAATACTTAGGCATATACTGCACCATTGGAATCATTGGAAGTACTGTATATCCTGGTGTGATCACAAATGTGCACCCTGTGATGGCCATCCCAAGTGCCTCATATTTAGATCATATCCTTGGGATGGGTATATGATGGGTGTTAATATATCCCACTATACATGCTGACCTGCACTGACATGCTGACCTGGTGATGTTTGCCAGGACGCAAGCTTCTTCAGCGGCCTTGCCAACAGTGGCGCCTGCGGCGCCAACAGCGGCAACTACAGTGGCGGCTCAGATGGAACAGTGGAGTCGGATGATGTGATGGTGTCATTAATGCATCAAAATGTTGATTGATTATTATCATGATGTCTTAGAACATTGAGTTCATTTGAGTTCTATAGAGTTATTGGATGTTGCTGGGTTTTATTGCAACTGACTGAATGTATTGATGGTGATGATTGAACCTCATGATGTCAATGATGCTGATGGCTGTGATGCCAGCATGATCGCCGCCTCAGTTACGCTTGATGGACGGACCGACAAGCATCATTTTCCCCCTAAAGATAGCCATTTCCGGACCGACCGCATATGTCATGTGTTTTTTGGTTACTTGCACCATATCCCACTGCCTTTCATAAAAACGGTTCGTTTCCCATTAAAACCCATTCATTAAACCACCATTTTTGCGAAGGGGTTCTGACTGCCTTCATTTCCAAGGAATCTGAATTAGAGCTGCTGAAGAAGCAGCTGGGTATGGAGCTAAGAACATCCTCCTAGGTATCCACAAGAGATTGGAAACCTCAAAAGGTTGAGGAAAGTCAACATTTTTTCATGGGTAAAGTTCAGGGTTTGTCTAGCTATTTTCTTCCAGAAGTAAAGACTCCTAGAGATGAGGATAGCATTCATGTTTTCCATTTATACAATTACCTGTATAAATCCTATATAGCCATCTATTTTCCATGTCTTTAAGGCATGCTTCATTACTAAGGCACACTTCATTACGACTTCCCCAGGTCTTCTGTCCATGGGCGCGGGCATGCTGTTGAAGAAGCTGGAAGAGGCTCCTGTCACGCCACCAGGCGAGCGACCGACACATGATGTGGAGCTGGGGAGTCATGGTAGTCATGGTAAGTGCCATAATACACTCGGCGTGAAACCAGATGAACGTGTGACAACCACATTCAAAATCATTTCAAACCTAGTTGAAATTTGAAAGTTAAGTTATACGTACGAAAAAAACATGAAAAGGCCCTTTTCATTCATACAGAAGGCCATATTCAAAACCCCTGGCAGACCCATATTTACCCAGATGGTGTTCCAATGTTTTGAGATGAAGCGAAATACCACCCAGACCCGAGCCCCAGGTGTACCTGTCGCAACGTCATCGGTGGAGGCTCAGATTGGGTTGACATGTCCACCACTGAAATTTGGGGTTTGGGAACGGGGTCAATGCGATGGGGATGCCCCCAGAGACAATAGGGTTATAACCCCGGAATCCCTCTAGCATGCCAAATTCAGGAAGTATTTTTTTACGATTTTAATACGTATGGTTTTTGATACGATTGGAAGATATGAATTTGATACGCTTTGAATTTGGGGTTATGATTTCGATCTGGTGTTGTTATGTTTTTTTGATATGGTTTGGGTTATGGTTTAGATATGGTTTTGGAATGTTTTGGATGTGATTTTGATATGGTTTTGATATGGTTTGGGAACGGACCGCCTTTTTCAGGGTTCCTGACGGGTTGGCTTCAAGAAAGGACACAGAAACAGCCCCGGGACAGCCTTTTGGTCGATTTCTCCAGGGTTCTTGTGGTTTTTCATATGATTTTGATACGATTTTGATACGCTTTTGATACGATTTTGATACGATTTTGATTTGGTTTTGATATGATTTTGACCCACATCAAGAATCATAACTGAAACCATATCAAAATCATATCTAAAACCGTATCAACATCGTAGCTGCAAAGAAACCATTCAAAACAGCAAATCATATCTGAAACATATCAAAACCACAAAAATAGTTATTTTGAAAAACATTCATCCTAGAGACTTCGGATCTTATAGCAATAGGGATACAATGGGATATGATGGGATATGTGACCAGTAATTACCTGGGTTTCTTTCAAAATTGCGGATAGATGCCCAATACTGTAATGGTGATATGGTATCAAATCAACAATGAAAATATATGGGGATATACTGGGATGCAATGAGATCTAGAACCCCACAATTCTGATAGCAATACTTGTGATGTTCCCAATCATTGGGTACATATTATACCCCGTTATAAGATGTTATAAGGGATTTTCCCTGGATCTCCCGTCGCCAGGTGGATGGTTCCTCTCCCAGGTCACGGATTTCTGAGGAACCACACCCTTCACCTTCCAGGTGTGGATCTGCTCTATAGGGATGTTGGCAATGCATGGTTCAGTGGGATTTAGGCGTCATTGTTAGCGTGGAGTTACTTTGTGCTATGGATTTTGATCCACTGGTGATTGTTAGTGTTTAGTCAGGTTTTAACGAACGCGTGGATACTTAGTGGATGCATGTGGATGCAAATCACATAGGTTCTGATTATGTTGAAAAGTCATGGTGGACTGGATGATAGGATGTGTGTGAATTTGCCACAGTCCTCAACAGAGATGTCTTGGCTGGATCATCCACTCCCGGCAGCAATGTCCTGATATCTGTGGTGTTTCTTCCTGTAAAATTTGCCCTTTTTCAACCAGGATTGCATCTAGGGTGATCTCGCACTTGGAAGCGTGGCTATGAATCGAGGAAGTCAGACCAGACTACATCAGACTATGATAGAATACTAAATGCTTGTCAGGTGCCATCGGGCGGGCCCCACCCCAGCCAGTTTCCAAACAGATTCAGCCAGGTCGCCATCCATCCGTCGCGCCAGCGATTCGAAGGCGCCAAACTCGGAAGAGCATAGGACATGAAAGGTTATCATATATTGGTTAATATATCTACAGCATATTGATTACTGAGAATCTATGATTTTGGATGACTATTAGTAGAAATTGGAGGTCATCACGGATGAGCATTTATGATGGTTGTGTTGAAGCATTAATTGTATCCGTTGCAACAAAGCCCCTCCAAATCCTACAAGCCGTTCACCACACACTCATGATCTCTCTGATTTTGATAGAACCGGAGGCCAAATTGTATCAAATTGTCACGGATGTTGTATTTGATGTGTTTTGTTGAAGCACTTGAATCTTTTGCAACAAATATCCAAATCTAGATATATTTTAGATTTTTAGTAAGTTGTCAGCCTTCCTCTAAACCTTGATTCAAGAAGGGTTTCCCCGATGTCAGGTGAGTTTCGCTCAGATGCCCTTTATTGAGCAAGGCCACGTCTCATCACACCATGGCTTGGATTTTTTGCAGGGCTGGGCCGGGAAAGTTTCTTCTGAGATTGGGAGGATGCTTCTCCCTGACATAGCCTCGCACATATAGGATCTTGAAAGCAGATGACCGGTTCATGGCTTGAAGGTTCAGAACCTGTGACTCCAGTCAATGCATGGCCGGAGCCTTTGGATTTTGCCCCAAAAACGAGGACCACCCAAGGGCGCTTTTCCTACCAGGAGACAGAATGAAGATGGGGAAGTTAGACGCGCCGGACAATAGAAGTGGATGCTAAGGCATCAGTTTGGAAACTCTGCCGCCACTCCGCCTCCTGTTTGGGGGCAAGTGCGCAACTCAGTGATGTCTAAGAGGTTTTTAAGTTGTCGTGTCTCAATACTTCAGCAACCACAGCAACCACAGCAACCACTGCAACCACTGCAACCACTGCAACCTACTCGCCTAAGTATCCCGAAGACATTCCTTCCAATAGTGACAAGCCATTGTCCCCTCCTGGCACCACATGTTATGCATGAGACTCAGATTCGGTTTGACCACGGCCATTGTGCAGACCTTTGATGTTCAAAAGCTTCAGACGTTGTCATGGATCCTGTGCAGTTTACTGGGCCCTCCAGCCTTGATGTGGAGAATCTGCTCCCCCAATCTCTGCGGGATGGGATGTTACCAATTCAGCATGAGAATCTCCAGCTGTTGGTCTCGTTGATCCAGACTCGACTTTCATCCAGGCAACTGAAATGGCACAATGAACAGCTCAGCGCAGAGATGGAACAGATCAAAGGTGGATCATCCAGTCCCACAGATCCCACGGCTGCGGAGGTTGAGGACAGGATGGATGGGCTGGAAGATGCCTTAAAGCTATGTGTAGCTGAGCTGATAGCTCTGATTGTTTCGTGGCAGCGACAGATGGAAGGAGAGCAGAGAAAGGATCTGTCAGTGGAATACGAAACTCGTTTGTGGTTTCAGCAGATTCAACCAAATTGAAATCATAGATTTGTACTTGGTGAATGGGGCAGAACGTGCATGTGTTTGCCATATATATTATTTGAATAGGATAATAATTAAAGGTTTGAAGTATATATATATATATCATTATATATCTCTTCAGTACTAGCTCGGCCATTTATTGATCCCCAGCGGTTATGTCTTTGTGGGTGAAGACACGATTCACCAGCACCAAGGAGAGGTGTAGAATGGAGATGCAAGATTTGGCTATCCATCAGGAAAAGGAAGTTGAATCGTTGATGGAACGTCTTGCACCGTCCCGAATAAGGGATAGGTTTTCGGGCAAATGCCATGCCAATGAAGTCACTGAGCTTCGAAAGTCTCTTGAGCTGCGTCAGAAACGTTCCTTGGAAGAGACCATGGCGGCATTGGAGCAGGAAGAAGTGGTTCTGGCAGAGTCTTGCATGGCACTGGATGATGAGGAGAGTAAAATGCAGTCTGAGATGCAAGTGGAGAGTGAGGAAGCAGAAGCCGTGCGTCGGATGCGTTTGGAAGTTGGGAAACTGGAGACTCTTCGTAATCGCCTTGAAGCATCTGAACAGACTGCTTTGAGCAATCGAAGAAAATCTCACCAGGAGTGTGTCTTTTGGGAAGATCGAATTCAGCACTATGCGCGCGTGCGAGAGGAGCTCACTGATAGCGCTTGGGTGATGTCACATGAACTGCAGGAGAAAATTCTTGAGACCGAAGCTGCTGCCGATGATTTGAAGATGCTGCGACCCTTGGAGACCCCAAAGGGAAACCCGGAGCTTCAAGAAGAAGAAACCGCGATCAGGTTGCAGTTGGCCCGTGCCGAAAAGGCACTTGCACCCAAACAAAGGGAAGTGGCTGAAGCGTTGCTTGGCTGAAATTGGAAAATGATCCACCCTTAACAAAGATTTATAATACACGTCATGTATTCACCAGCCGCAGTTGGTCATATCAACCCAAGAGCTGCAAATGCCATGGCTTTAACCCTTTGGGGTAGTTTTGTGGCCAAGAATGGTTTGGTTTATTTGGGCCCAAGCTGTTCCTTAGAAATCAAGTTGAGCCTAGAACCTTCGAAATTGGACTTGGTGCCAGGTTGAACGAATCCTTTGAGTTGCGCAAAGCTTTGACCTCTGCCTACAACAACCGCTCTGCCGCCAAGATTGCTGAGGCTGAAGCTGCTCGAGAGGTGCGTTCGAGTCGCAGGAGGAACGCTGGGCTTCGGGAGTCCTTGAAGAAACAGCTAACTTCAGTGGCTGAGTTGAAGGAATCCAAACGGGAAGTTGAAGCCAAAGATCGGAAAGTTTTGCTACTCCAGAGACGGGCCTTGCATGAAGAACTGGCAGATACAGAGAGCAATGCTCTGGCAGAAGAACTTCGGGTCAAAACTTCAGAGCTGCAGCTTGAAGCTCAAACCGCGCGGCGCTTGAGGGTTGACATCAGGGACGTGAGAGCGAAGCAACAACATCGCTTGCGACAAAGGTCGGTGTGGATTTTCATTTGAGGAGAGTTTTGTGAATGGGGTTTAGGTGTTATTGAAACATATTCACACCATTTGTTTGGTACAATAAAACCGAATAAAACATCGTGATAGATCGTGTTGATGCTCCCTCTTGCCATGTGACCCATGCAGGTCGAAGACAGTTGGCTCAGTTGGCTCAGCTCCACTGGCCTTGGAGAATTCAGTGCCATCCTCCATATCTTCCGCAGATGTGCAGAAGCAGCTGCGGAAGAGGGAACAGCAGCTGCAACTGCTGCGGACTTCCTTGAGCTCGGTCAGACACTTAGGGGGAAAGACTGAAAGACCATGAAAGACCTATAAGTTGTTTCATCATGTTTCACCCTGACAGTTGAGAGATTTCTGATTCTAGATCGGTGTTTGATGCCTTCATTTTCCTTCAAGATCCGTGTTCTGCATGGCAGAAACACGTAGAAACCGATGGTTTTGGCACCCATCTTTGGGAATACCACATCCATGTCAGCTGCAAGTAGCACGTTGCCAAGCTGTCCACTGGATCGACCGGATCAGCACCGACTCCCTGAGGATGGGCAGAGATACCCCTTCACCGGAAGTGCTGAATCCGAAAAAAAGGGAGCTGTTTTCATGTGCAGAATCCTTCACCACAGTTTCTCTCCGTGGGGGGGTTGTTGATTCTCCACGAAAGGGAGCTAAGGTCAAAAACAGTTTTGTCACAGATAGGCTCTATAGATACTATTGCACAACAAAGTCGGCCGCTAAATTTGGTCCTTTTCAGAACGCCATCAATTTTGGTCAAGAAAAATTGGTCCCTCCACCTTTGTGAGGTGGACTATGGCGCCCGTAGCGTTCCTGGCGTTCCTGGCGTTCCTGCTTTGGTCAGGTGTCCAGTGGTGACTGTGAACAACTTTGTGCAGGTGCCATGGGGGCCCGGGATGAGCTTGGGCAACTTCTGTATTTTTCAAGCGCAGAGCCATAGGACCATGGACACCATGAGCTAGATGTAATATGGGCATATATGGGCCATTGGAGAAACATGGGTTTGGCAGTGGATTTGGCTAGTTTACATGTATGCCTGTGGGCGGTTGGTGGTAATTGCACATGTTTGACCCAGGCATCATCTTAAAATACACCCCGAATCACCTCAATTTTTGCAGGAATTTTGAATTTTTGTCAGCAAGTCCATTGCGAAATAGTTGGATCATTGGATCCTTTTGCTGAGCTTGTGGAAGATTCTGGATTGACCTTGAAATCTTTGAACCTGATGCAGTGAGGTCCGTCCAAACAATCCAGTGACCCAAAGGGTCCACATGGTCCACGGAGTGAGTCGAACACCCAGAAATGCGGACCCACCGTGATCAGATTTGAGGGCAGATTCTCAACACCTGCAGCGGATTGCAGTGGCTAAGGTTCTAGAAGTGTGTGATGGGAATTCACCCTGGACCCCGTTTCACTCAGCAAAATGCTCCAAATTTCAACTCTTGCTCCACCGATGTCAGATGACTCATAGAGTGGACATCAATCCTAATGGAGGCAAAGTCTCGCAGTACCGGCGAGAAAATGCGCAGCTGAGACAGCTTGCAGCTATTATCCTGTAGATGATGGCAGTTCTGAACATAGCACAGGGTGATTCTAGAAGTTTCCTAGATTTATTTGTTTCTTCTTAAATGCTATCAGATGGTTTTAGTTTGCAAAAGGTTCAGATGAGTTCCCCAAATGACTTCGGACTGTCTTTGCTTCAAACCGATTTTTTGGGGACTTCCAACAAAGTCCATGCTTTGATTACCTGAGTGCTGCCTGAGCCTTTGCAGTAAAGTTGTCAGCAGTTGGAACGATTACAGAAAACTGAGAAACTCAATTGTAAAAGAAGTGTTGATCTTGAACCAACAAGGGCAGTCAAATACAACATTGGAAAGATGTTATATATAATATAGAATATTCAGAAAACAGATACACAGTCAGACCATGTCGCACTTGGCACATCGACGTGACATTTCAAGGGTCCCTCGGTGCCTTGGCCATGTTGCCCCGTGGCCTGCGCGCCATGCGCGCCCTGCGCCTGGGCGGCCTGGGCCGGTGCCCCTTGGGCCGCGCCTTCGCCGACGCGGCGAAGGCCACGGCCACGGCCACGGCCACAGCAGCGACGGCAGCCCCAGGCGGCAGCCCAGGCGTCAACCCGAAGACCAGCGGTCTTCCCATGACGACACCGGGGGCACCGGGCGCCGTTCGTCCCAGAGTGGTCATTGTTGGGACCGGCTGGGCCAGCTTTCGGGTCTTGGCGGATATTGATACCAAGAAGAATGATGTGACAGTGATTTCGCCCAGAAATCATCTGCTCTTTACCCCCATGTTGGCGTCCTCAGCCCTTGGCACTGTGAATCAACGATCCATTTGTCAGCCAGTGCGGCCGTTGACTGCCAAAAAGAATGCCACGTACTACGAAAGCTCTGTGGTCGGCGTGGACAAAGAGAAGCAGCTGGTGACTTGCAAGACCTTAGGTGGCCAGGAGTACAATCTTCCCTATGACAAATTGGTGGTTGGAATTGGCTTCCAGCCAAATGATTTCAATATTCCCGGCGTCAAGGAAAACGCGCTCTTCATGAAGGAAACCGCGGATGCAACTCGATTTAAGGATCACGTCCGGACCTCAGATCTGAGTGGATGATATTGCTACAAGGTTGACCCCCCGGATACCGATTCCTATAAAAAAGTAAGAAGAAAATCCACCTTTTCTATCCTTTTCTGATTGGTTGGACCAGCATTCCGTTGTTGACCTGACAACTCACACCTTCCCAAATCTTAAGTTGGGCTGTTGTCATTGAGGTCTTGGAGAAATTGGAAGAAGCTGCGTATTGCCATGCATTGGTCACTGGCTTGCAGGTTTCAGTTATTTCCCCAGGGTTCCTCAAGGTTTCTGGACGACCTGTGACATCGAAAGCTGTTGACAATTGCTGTTTGTCCAAAAAATAGTGTGTATAGTCCAATCAATCTCACGGTTCAGAAGATGAACTTGTTCCCCCTTTTTTGATGACGATATTGGTTATATATATTCTCCTAATTTGGACAAAGCCAATTTATTGCTTGAGCCATGTTCAACCCTGGATTCATAACACTGATTGATGAATTAGTTGAGGTCAATCCACTAATATGTCCAGGGAAATGTGCAGCAAAAACATTGTGAGTAAGGTAAGAAAGTCATTGACGGGCAAAGTAAACCTTCGAAAAACAAACATGTTTTCCTGTATTTGCTTCCTCTCCATGGATTTTTCTGAGGACAATGATTTGACGTTGAGCGACGAGGAAAAATGGAAGATCCAGGAACTCTTGACGTTCATCGTGGTGGGTGGTGGCCCCACAGGAGTGGAGTTGGCCGGAGAGCTCACTGACTTCCTGTACAACGAGGATGGGATGGGTGGGGAATGTATGGCTGTTGTCCAAATTCTTTGGTAAAAGCCTAGTGTAAATGGTGCATGGTCATGGTGTGTGATTGGAGTTACCGGATTACATACAAAATGCACAAGTTCTATTGGGTTTATTGATTTTGTGTGGGATTTTACGTTTTGATGGATTTTGTAGATTTTCTTTCTGCTTCACTGGGGGTGTTGCGCATGAAGTGCTCGGGTGGAACCAGCTGCTAAGAGGTGGCCAACTTGTACAAGAACCTGAAGCCATATATCCGCGTGCACATGTTCACCTACGACCTGCTGAACACCTTTGATGAGAAGCTTCAAGACTATGCCATTACGCATCTGCGGAAGAAGCAGAATGTCCAGGTGCACCTGGGTGCCTTTGTGCAGAAGGTGGAGCCGAATGTGGTTCACGTGAAACTCGGGGAGAGTGCCATGTCCATCAGGTATGGCACACTGGTGTGGTGTGCTGGCATCAAGCCACACCCCTTCGTCAGTGACTTTGGATTCGCCATGAATGACAAAGGCTCCCAGATCTTGGTGGATCCCTTTTTGAAGGTCAAGGGGGAAAAGAACATCTATGCCATCGGAGATTGCGCAACCATTGAAGATTACTGGTTGCCACAGACCGCCCAAGTGGCCAATCAACAAGGTCAGTATTTGGCTAAGGCCCTGGGCATGGACGAGAGCAAGACCAAGCCCTTCGAGTTTCACAACAAGGTCTGTGCTTGTTGGGTGGATAGGGATGCTCTGGAATGCTAAATTTTCGGAATAGCATGAGAAGCGGGAATACACAGTAAAACATTGTAAAACCATCATAGACCATCACAGATTCTGATGGGTTCCATCAGGTTCGCGATTTACTTTTTGGCACTTTAAGATAGCTATGGTCAAAATATGTCAAAATCCCCATCTTCAATAGGCTCAATATGCAAATAGTCTATAAATAGACCATTCATCTTTAAATGGGCCATTTTCCACCACCATGTTACATTCCCAGAGGGTAAATCAAACACATCCTGGGACCTTCACCAGGGCACTATGGCATACTTGGGCGGACTCACAGCCATCATGGCCAACCTTCCTGGTGTCAGTCGTATCACTGGCTTCGTGGCATTCCTCGGTTGGCGTTTCACCTATTGGTTTCTACAGCTTTCCATGCGGAATCGCTTCATGTTGGTGACGGATTGGCTGCGTTTCTTAACAGCACTAGGGTTGTGTGTGTAGTTAGCTCCTTTGAATTGGGTCTCATATGGTTCTATGCAAAGGAAACAGTGAGTTATCAAGAATTTAATTGTTTTTGGGTGCAGAAGTCAAGGTACCTTCATCTTCGGACGAGATCTTACACGCTTCGGACCTCGCTCGAAACCTACTTGAGCCTTGGGCTTTCAATCTCACCATTGATTTGATCGATTGATCGAAATGTCTTGAACCTGATACAAAAAAATATAAGAAATATAATTAGATATTAATGAAAATTAATTTAAAAACATATATATTTATACACAAACACAGAATTCGTTTTCATCCTCAAGCCCACCATGATGTGCGGCCACAAGGGCCTTAAGCACTAGCCTAAACCTGAGGAAGGCTTAGAGCCACCAAACTGCAAACTAAGGAACATCTTAGCTTTCAGGCTAAACAAACCTTTATTAAATATTATATAAATTATTTCGATCTTTCTGAAATTATATAAAATCTTTATAATTAATATAGGGAATGATCCTATTTCCGATAATTATTTTATTTATAATATATCCGGGAATTAAAATTTTTTATAACCGATAGAGGAATGATTTTAATTTATATATATAATTAAATTAAATTAATAATTTTGGTTATTATTTTTATTTGTTTTGGGATTAATAATATTTTTATATTATATAATTATATATATATTTTATATTTTT